AGGGTTTTGCATGTAGGGTTTAGGGTTTAGGGTTTAGCATTTGTCATGAGGGCTCCTCTTCGAGCCGTCAAGTCAGCAGATCGAATGCCTCATGTTTTGCTGCCGACAAAGTTTAAGGTTTTCAGGTAGCACTAGTGGTGTAACATAGCGTTACAGTACGACTATGTGGCAGACTGTCAGGGGGTAGTATTCCTTTCCTAAATTGCGACTCCTATCAGCAGCAGACTAATATAGGGGCCTTAGTAATTCGACTAGGGTTTTGGGGTATATTCTACTCTAACTAGAATAAGGAACCCCAAAACAGTACAAGTAATTATTGAGGCCACCATATTGGCCGAGGTGGCGGTGATTGTTGTGATAGCCCTAAACCCCACAACCCTAAAACCCTAAAACCCTAAACCCTAAACCCTGAACCCTAAACCCTAAACCCTAAACCATAAACCCCACACCCTAAACCATAGTGGCAGCACCGGAACCCCAAAACAGTATTTTTTGTGATCGTGGTAGCATAGGACCATCCTCAGGGCTTCGAAGCTCGTCTTCCAGTCTACAAAGAGGGTAGTTCTTTGAATTTGGGTCCCTTGTAGGGTCCTTTTTTACGTAGTGCCGTACTATTTTGGGGACCGAATTCACAGAAGTGGGCCCGAATTTCGAGAAACTACCCACTAAGAGCTGTTCATTGCCTACGCTTGTCGCAGGCCTATTCTGCGCATGCTCCCTTGTGTGCCTCGCGCTCGTTGCTGGCGATGTACTGCATTCGCCCGCCGCAGCGCCAAATCTCGCAGAGAGCCTGCGCACACGGCTTCAGGGACAAATAGGAGGGACCCTAGAGGGACCCCTAATCCAAATACCCTATATAACCCTTCTATACCCCTCGTATAGTCTCATAAAGCCCCTATATAACCCCAAGGGTCCCTTTAAGGGTCCCTCCTTTAGTCCGCAAGTCCCGAAGCGCTATGGTCCTAGCCCAACACCCTTAATTAAGGAATGTGGCTTCAATCATCATATGCAGCCTCTTATAATGTAAGGCATATTCCTTAATGAAGGGGTATCGGTATCGGGCTCTATTGTGTGTAGGTTTGGGGGTTAGTTTCTAAGGTCCCGGGTCTACTAAACCTTAGCCTAGGATTTAGGACTTAGGATTTAGGGATTAGGGTTGTAAAGAGCTTGGGGTAAGGTTTAGGGTAATGTCATCTGTTGACAATCTTCCTCCGTATGTATATATATATATATACACATGCTGTCATGGTGGCACAATCCCAAGCAAAACCTCATGATTCTGAACATGGCTTCTCTTCGTCTAGAAATGGACGTCGCAGTGTCAGATGCTAAGACATGACTTTGCTGCCGCCAGCTCACAGAGTCAGTCACGTGCAAGACAACTCTTCAGAATATCGCAGGCAGCACTGTACTGTAACTAATGATGGCGCATTTTGCAAAATTGTGGTGGTAAGCTGTACACTGTACACTGCCCTCCGCTGCGCCCACCAAAATGCGCAGGGGAGCTACTAAGCAGCCTGCAGGTTGATCCTGTGGTAACCGAGGCGCACTTTGCGCAGTACCTCATGAGCCTCGATCTCACTCTTCCGATCCACCTGGAGATCAACAAAAAGAATCAAAGAGTGGTGGGCTTCTGTACTAGGGGTCCAATAATATCCACTGTATGGGATCTTCAATAAGGGAAACAGGAGCCCTCTAACCTAAAACCCCTAGAAAGGACAAAGAAACCCCTACAACACCCGTGACTGCTCTCCCTGGAAGCCCCAACTACTCTTAATTCAACCCTACCTTAAGCAACCATAACCTACTTTCCTTGCTGGTTTTACTGCAAACCCGCATTTAGAATTCATAGGGACCCTAACAAGGTAGGTCTTGGCAGGTTAAGGACCACCAATACAGAGGCCATATATGCCATATCCTCCATAAGGGATTTTTTGGGAGGTCGTGGTAGGAACCCTTCCCGACAGGCTTCGGAGACGCAGCAAGTGGGATGTCCATGCATGATGATCCCACTTAGGGTGCTTATAGCCCCAGCTATAACCTGCTTACTAAGTGCCTCTATCCTGGCAGCATTCTAGCAACCCACAATCGTCAAGCCCGGAAGCCCCTAAACCCTAAGCTCATCGAAGGTATCCCTAGTTGCCCAGTATCATGGGGGAACTAAATCCCC